AATATTGACTTAACCATCAGAGCAACTTCCCCAGGTTAGCCACCCCAGGTTCTTTGATCCTTTGTCTTGTAGCTTGGTCCAGCTCGCTACGCGACTAGTGTCCAGGTAATTTCCAGCTAGGAGCTTCTAGATCACACACCATCAATTGACACCGTCTGTGGGAAACGTTACAAGAAGCTAAGTTCTCACCTTCCAAAAAGCTAAGTCCTCATCTTCCAGAAAGCTAAGATCTCACCTTTTAATGATTTAAGTTCTCACTCTCTAATTTCCGTTTTTTATGAACTAAAAAGCATTTTTTAGAAACACCAACATCTAGAACGAATATCAATTACTGGGGGGAAAGAACATTTGTGATGAACCTTGAGAACTCCCCTGTGACAACTAAACAGGTTCAGGCCGAACCCAACATTCCCAGTGCCCCAGATAAATACACCGCTACCGCATGTCAATGCCCCTCTCCCCGCAACAGAGCCATCGCGGTTCCCACCGAGATTGAAGTGTGGCAGTTCTATGAGATGAAGCATGAATTTCCAGGTCTAAGCATGGGAGAAGCCCAATGTAGATAGCAGCAGAACGACTTCAACTCATCCTCAACGACAGTCAGCCAGGATGAGGCATCATCAGCCCTATTTTGCGAGCTTGCCTCTGCAAGTCGAACTCTTCGTGGCTCCCACGAGAGTCGGCAGCCACCGGACTGCATGGACGCCCTTGCAGGTCGAGACTTCTGAGGCTCCCGTGCGAGCTGGCAACCTAAAGTCAGTAGTGCTGCCCCCACAAGTCGAGCTCCCAGTGGCTTCTTGTAGGAGTGGATGACTGGCGTCACTACGAGGCTGATGCATTGTAGCTGTTGCCCCGAACTGCCGACTCACGCCGACAACAACTTTATGTATCAACAACCCTCACAAGGGGGGAGCAGAACATGTACGTTGTGGTCTCGCAAGCACTCACCCAGGAAGATAATCCCATGGGATGACGTAGAAGCAGTCATATGAGAAGTTACTAAAGAATGACCACCCGCTTAGGCGGAGAGGTCAGGCTACACTTCCGCTAAATAATATTATAGGGAGTGGACTATGAGTCACTCCCAAAGCCCAAGGGCCACGATGCCGAACAAATAGTGACCTCAGCGCTAAACAGGAATAAGACCCAATCGCCTCTTCGGCATGGGCAACATAAGACCCAGTCGAGTCTTCGACATGGGTGGAATAAAAAAGCAGTTTGTGTTTAGCCCCATCGGTGTGCAGATAAGTCGGGTGCATACCGTTCCGCCTCAGCCTCATCGGTGTGTAGAAGAAGAAAGAGAAAAAGAAAGAGAGAGAAAGAACCGAAGGACGGAAGGCTAATTCAACACAAGAAAGAGAAACAAAGGAAACACTAGTTCGCTTTCAGCACCATAACAGACGCAAACTTGGCCAATCTTTTCACAATAGACCTCTACCTCGGTTTCAGGCTCCGCATCGAACTTGCTGGCTACTCTTTTGAGAACCAACTCGAGGGACACTGCGTTGAAGTCTACTTAGGTGGAGCAACCTGATAAAGTAGTCACATAGAACATCTTCTTGAGGATGACATGATGAGCTTCGCTCTTGAGGTACTTAGTCGGATTGCAGAACCCCTTGACGATCGCATCCCTAATAAGGCAGATGTCCTCGGGGTACCTGTTCCACCTCTCCTCAAACGGATGAATTTGCTCTTGTGCCCTAATAGTCAAGACTACGAGGTCCTGCGTAAGGCTGCAAGCACTTGGACTCTTTCGACCTAAGGAGCAAATTGGATTGATGCCAACGACTACGAGCTCATCAAATAGTCATTTCGGGCCAAAGGAACAATCTACTCCCTTCGCTGAGCTGCCCTCAACTCGGGAGTGGGGGCAATTAATAAGGGTGGATTTGGCCCTCCAATAACCTCATGACACTTGACATCCCAAAACAGTTGGACAACACCCAGACACCACCTAAGCGATGATTTGGAGTCCTAAATCATAGTTCGTCTCTGCCCTGACCTAGCGACCTGCCTTTACCGTCGAGTTGGCCACCTTGACCACAACTTAGGTCGGCTTGCAACACCTTGTCCAAGGTAGACCTGTAGCACCTCGTCATCGACCGAAGCGACCTCAATGCGAGGCGCGACCACTCTCGAGGGTTTGCCAACCTGACTAAGGACCAGGAGGTGACCTGCTTGATGTGCTCGCCGACAAATTCAGCCTGCATATCCTAACACTCCCAGGTTTCTTGGAAGTTTGCCCATGTACTGGATATTCCAGAGGATGGTCAACGTACATGGCGGTTACCTCCGAAGATCTCAGACCAGTTAGGCACAACCTCCCGAAAATATCGGTGTGGTGCGTGAGACCCACAACAAACAATGCCTATATAAAGGCACCAACCCCCAATGACACAGGGAGGTACACGCGATTATTTACTCACTAGCATTCTAGCATTCAAGCTTTCAGCTTGCAACAAAAATACAACATTGACTTAAGCATCAGAGCGACCTCGATGGGTTAGCCACCTCGGTTTTTCTGATCCTTTGTCTTGCAGCTTGGACCAGCTCGCTACACGACTAATGTCCAAGTAATCTTCCAGATAGGAACTTCCAGATCACGCACCATAAAAAACCGTTATGTTATGCACCGGTGTTTGCATTGTTTGTTTAAGGAGAGAAAATGTAGATATATTTTTCACCTATTGGTTTGGACAAGGTAAATAATATCAAAAAACATAATTCCAATAGATAAATATCTACAAATCATTGATTGCCATTTCTTCCATGATTGTTATTCTCACACCATCATTCTTCCTCTGCGATTGCAACTGCAAGTTAGAGTCGAAGACCTAAGTGGTGTGGTAGCAACGACGTAGGAAGAATGGCATTGTGAGAATAGGAACCAATAATAGAACAACACTGGTGGAAGAACTGATAGTGGCAGCACCGGTCGGAATGTTGGATTGCCAATTCGGAGGAAGAGAGAGGAAGAAAAAACAAAAAAAGAGGGAAGGAGGAGAGAGAGAGAGTACCAATGGCACAACCCTCACTAGTGGACTGGTAGCTCGTGAAAGGGGAGTGTGGAGGCAGGAAATTAAAAAAGCGAGAGAAAGAAGGGAAAGAGGCCTCTCGAGTTCAGACAAAATAGGGAATTAGATGGGTTTTAATTTTTAACAAATATTAGGCAGGAAATTAAAAAAGCGAGAGAAAGAAGGGAAAGAGGCCTCTCGAGTTCAGACAAAATAGGGAATTAGATGGGTTTTAATTTTTAACAAATATTAGGCAGGAAATTAAAAAAGCGAGAGAAAGAAGGGAAAGAGGCCTCTCGAGTTCAGACAAAATAGGGAATTAGATGGGTTTTAATTTTTAACAAATATTAAAATCATTTGAGTCTAGACGCCTGTTAACTTTTAACTCGCTAGAGCAAATTATAATTACTCATCAGTTGGCATGTACATAGCCTTATAAGAGTAAAATATAGAAACCTCCCTTGAGTTTCTAATAATCATAAAAACCTCCCTCAAATTTCATTTCAACAAAGACATCTTCTATAATTTTGAAAAAATCCTATAGTTACATCCCTTCCATAATGATGATTTCAAACTATTTTTCTAACAATCATACTTGTTAAGAGTACGGTCGTATTGTATTTATTATTCGTTGGGAGATATATCTAATACAGGGTGGGATGTGGCTGTGTAGTTGGTGTAAGGCAGATGGGCTTTGTAAGTAGATTCCAATTGGTAGACAGTACAAACGTAACATTTGAGGTAGTTCACCTCCACCCACGTGTTTTGGGCCCCACGGTTCAAAACTTCATTATGTATCGGCCCATATTACGTATCTCATTGATTGATCCTCAAATTCTCAACTTTATTGAAATTTCAACAAGAAAAAGGCTTGCTCAACTAGCTCAAGTATCTTAAAGTTAGCAATTTGGGAGGCTTAGATTCTTGGAGTTGAAAAGCTTCAACAAGAAGGTTTCCCCAACATGTTAACACTGATATGGATGCTATTGATATTAATGAAACTTCCACCCCTAGTACTAATACTATGGGAAAGAAAAAAGGGCCTCTAAATTGATTAGCCCAATTTAAAAAATATTTAAAGTAGAGAATGTTGAAGGGAAAGAAAAAAGAACTGTTTGTCGAAAATGTATGAAAGACTAGCTATTGTAGCAAGGGTGGTACTGACCATTTGAGCAAACATTCACTCTCCCATGTGAAAGAATAAGAATTGAGAGAAACAACACAAACACAAATTAGGTGGGAGGTTTGGTACATTTAAATATTCTTAAGAAAAAATGAGACAAGAATTAACAAAATACATTGTACATGTTGAACAACCATTTTTGTTAGTTAAAGATACTAAAAATGAAAAGTGGTTACTAAATCCACAATATAAAAAAGTTTGTAGAATACTATTGATCAAATGCTTTAAAAATTTTGTATTCATATAAACAAAATTTAATTTATATGTTATTGAATCTTATTTCTAAAGTTGTAATTACTTCTAATGTTTATATTTCTAAATTTAATATAAGTTATATTTGTATTACTGATCATTTTATTGATGAAAATTGATTTTTAAATAAAATAATTTTAAGTTTTACTAGGCTTGAACGACCACATACTGGCCCACACTACAGGAAAAATGACCTTTAATGACAGTCAAACTACTGCTGAAGGTTCCCAAAACTGTTGCTAGAAACTTTACCGACAGTCAGCAAAAAGCCGCTAAAAGGACTATCAGTAAAAGTTCTAGCAGCAGTTTTCCCGACTACTAGTAAAGAACAAAAAACTGCCCGCTAAAAGATGAACCAACTACCGCTATAAGTGCCTTTTAGCGGCAGTTAAAGACATCTTTAGTGTCAATTGCGACTGCCACTAAATCTATATATATTTTTTATATAACCTATTTTTTAATGTATTCCTAATTTTCTTAAAATAATCTGTTTTCTCTATATTCATCTAAATTAAAATGAAACACAAAAAAATCAAAACATCAATTACAAATAAAATTTAAAAATCTATTATCCATTCAAAACTTTTGAGTCAAATATACTTCAGTTTCAAATTGATAAATTCTTGGTTTGTACAAGAGATGTTCCCTTCACAATGCCATTGGGAGCTTTTCAAATCAAGACTCAGCATGTCTATTCTACTGCTACTTCCTTCAAAACCTTCCACAAGTAAGCCCTTATGCCTACCAAGCTTTGGTGATTTCAGTGTTGGTGGTATCTGCACAATCAAGTTAGATTTTCAAACACAGCTGGAGAAGAGTTCTAAAACTGGCATCCAAAATAGAACACATTCTGTCATGTTGATACCATGAAATTCCAACCCCAACCAACCATGAAATTCCTGAATCAATGTTCGGTCTCAACATGGAGACAGAAAAAGGGCCACTACCCAATGTTGGTCCTGGCCTCCTAGTTTCCTAGCAGACAGGGACAGACACAAACTGAAATAGGATTTTCTAATACTTGAACCCACCTTCCTTTCCAGCCCAAGATTTTACCATTGCACCATGCAATGGCCTCTACATGGTGACATAGATACTAACGAAAAATCATATTTCAATTCAATCATTTTCAGGTTCTTCACAAAGCTGCAATGTGCATTGTGGAGGTAGAATACAAAAGCTTCCCGACAATGAAATTTGAAAATCCTTTACTGCTGCCACTACTAACTTTTCCTGTATTCCACAAGTTAGTTCTAAGACTTTTATCTAACAGAAGAATTATGTTACAAGAGGATCAGAGGAAGAAGCTTTCACGTGTACATCGCCAAGTTTTCATGTCATCAACCATAAAAAATACATGTAAAGTTGAGATGCACAAATGCCAAAGGATCCAATGATAGTTGATGGTCCTCAATTATCTGGTTATAGATGCAGCATGCACACGAGCATGCACATGGATTGAACAATATCCATGGCTTCTATACACAACCTTGATCGGTCATGCCTTGAGCAAGTGTTAGGAAAGCAGCAATGATTGTACCATGCACCAAAGCCTTGCCAAGTATACATGGAAAAGAACAGAAGAAAAAACATATATTTAAGTTGTAACTTGGTGTCTTCTTAAACCAGCAGGAAGCCAAAATTTGAGGATGAACTACTTGAAGCCAACTTATGTTGGAATTAATGGAGGGCCATTACCAATGTTGAATCCAGCTATTTGGGATCTTGGGAAAGGAAGACTGGATACAGTTCTAACCTTTGGCATTTTTTTGCACAAAGTGGCTGTTCTCGGATTCAAATCCATGTTCTCATGCTTGCCGTGTTGGAGATAAAGAAAAGTTTCATATTGGAGATAGAGATAAATCTCATCAGATAGATATGTAGCATCTTTCCTTGTCTTGTATGACTCTATCTTCATGTTGTAACAATAAAATAAACATCTTTTAAACATTTGTATATATAATACAACTCAGCCAAGCTTGCACGAGTGTGTAGACTTTTATGCTCACTTAATTTTTCTACTCTGTTATGGTATCAGAGCAGTAAACGCTAGCGCCTCTCTCAAACTCTTCCATGGCTTCCATAGGATCAACTACGGGCAATGCAACCTCACAATCTAGATCTAATGTTGGATCTTTACTGGTACAAGTCCAATGATTCACAAGTCTGATTTCAGTCAAGCTAACTAGAGATAATCATGTCATCTGGGAAGCACAAGTCGTCCCTGCTCTTAGAGGTTTGCGGGTCTACGGATATGTTGATGGTACGTTTCAATGTCCTCCTAAATCCATTGATAATTCTAGTTCAGATGTCAATCCAAATTGCATTGCCTAGATTGAGCAAGACCAACTGATTCTCAATTGGCTTTTATCTTCACTTACAGAGCCTGTTTTGGCTCAAGTTGTTGGGTGTAATACCTCACAGGATCTGTGAAGCACTCTCAATCGACTCTTTTCATCATCAAACAGATCCAGAATTCCTGATCTCAAATTAGAGCTTGCACATGTACACAAAGGAAAATCATCCATGGCTGATTATATCCAGAAAATCAAGAGCACTGTTGATGCACTTGCTTCAGCCAGTTATATTCTTTCAGAAGAGGATTTTATCCATTATTTGTTGGACAGAATGAGCCCTGATTTTGATGCATTTGTTGTCTCAGTTACAACGCGACTTGATGATCTTACTTCAGCAGACATTCAAAGTATGCTTCTCTCTTATGAAAAACGATTGGAGCGTCACTCCCTACTATTATCATCGTCACCATCTGCAAATGTTGCAAATCACACACACTAGAAAGGTAAGAATTTCTCTCATTCTTCTAATGCACAATCACCTAAACCATGTACTACTGATCCTGGATCTTCTAACATCAACAACAATCAGTGGGGTGCTCCCTCATCTAAGCCGAATAATCCAGTGATCTGTCAATTGTGTCAATACCGTGGTCACACTGTTCTGACTTGCAGAAGGCGGTTCAGGGGCAACAAATCACATGACTGCAGCTTTGGACAATCTCTCTCTTCACAACAAATACCATGGCTCAGATCAGGTCTCCATTGGAAATGGTACAGGTTTGGGCATTGCTGATATTGTTTCTTCTATTCTATCCACATCATCTAGTGATGTTTCTTTATATAACGTTCTACATGTGCCACTGATCTCCAAGAATCTATTGTTTGTATCTCAGTTTTGTAAAGATTATAATGTTGTATTTAAGTTTGATGCCAGTGGTTTTTGTGTTAAGGACAAGAGAAGGGGGAAAGAGATATTTCAAGGACCACTCAAGAATGGTCTATACCACGTGCAACGTGATCATTCTAATGGTGCTGCTCTTGTTAGGGAAAGGACTTCAGCCTCCATTTGGAATTATAGACTCAGCCACCCCAGTTCATCATTAACTAATAGAGTTTAACAGCAGCTTCATTTACCAGTATCGAATAAGTTAGTGACATTTTGCGACGCTTGTCAGTTAGGAAAGAGCCATCAGCTCCTTTTTATGTCTAGCTCCATAGTTGTGTCTGCTCCTTTATAATTAATATTTTTTGACATTTGGGGTCCAGCCCCAGTCACTTCTACTAGTGGTTATAAATATTATGTCCATTTTGTTGATGCATTTAGTCGCTTCACATGGATTTTTCCAATGGCACATAAATCTGATCTATATTCAATATTTGTTCATTTTAAGAAAAGTGTTGAGAATAATTTTGACTGCTGCATCAAGCAACTACAAACAGATGGAGGGGCTGAATACAAATCTATTTCTTCTATTCTACATGATTGTGGTATCACACATCGTCTGTCCTGTCCACATACACATGAGCAACAGGGTATGGCAGAACGCAAACATAGACACATAGTTGAAACTGGTTTGACACTTCTAGCTATGTCTGGTGCTCCTCAAAAGCATTGGTTTGATGCATTTGAGACTACCATTTACTTAATTAGTTGTCTTCCAACACCTGTGTTATAGAACTAGTCTCCATGGCAAAAATTATTCAATCATCTTCCAGACTACTCCTTGCGGGTATTTGGTTGTGTGTGTTATCCTCACTTGCGGCCTTTTAATCATCATAAAATGGATTCCAGATCTACTCAATGCATATTTCTTGGCTATAGCAGTCAGCACTGTGGATACAAATGTCTCCATCTAGACACAGGACGCCTAGTGATATCTCATAATGTCATTTTTTATGAGAATAATTTTCCCTTCAAGAATGCTTTGCACTGTTCTTCTGATGATAACAGCTCCTCGGCATCACCAGTTAGGCCTCTCATTGTCACCTCTCCATGTTCCAATCAGCAGCACATTACCACCTCCATCATTTGACTTGTCCATAGTATCTCCCCCTATTGCTCCTTCAAATTAGTTGCCTATAGCATCCCCATCATCATCTGGTTCTTTGACGAATACATGTCCTACAGCATCTATACATCCCATGCAAACAAGAGCCCGATCAGGTATTACCAAACCCAATCCCAAGTATATGTTGATGAGTAGTTTCTTAGAAGAAACTAAACCTTCTTCCTATATTAAAGCCTCTAGAGATCCTAGATGGCACAAGGCAATAAATGAAGAATTCAAAGCTCTCCTTGGCAATCAGACCTGGATACTAGTTCCTCGCCCTTCAAATTGTAATATTATTGGAAACAAATGGGTGTTCCGAATTAAAAGGAAATCAGATGGGACTGTGGATCGGTTTAAGGCCCAACTTGTAGCACAAGGTTTCACTCAAGATCCTGGATTTGATTATGATGAAACCTTCACTCCAGTAATAAAACCGGTCACCATTCGGTTAGTTCTATCCTTGGCTACTACTTACAATTGGGAGGTACGTCAATTGGACGTTAGTAATGCCTTTTTGCATGGCAACCTTGAGGAGGACGTTTACATGAGATAGCAGTGGCTTTTATAGATCCTCAATTTCCAAATTTAGCTTGCAAGTTACAGAGGTCTCTTTATGGACTTAAGCAGGCTCCTCATGCATGGTTCACCCGTCTTCGTGATGCTCTTCTTCAGATTTGTTTTATGGAGTCAAGGGCTGATGCTTCTCTCTTCACATTGCGTTCTCAATAGTTCTTTTGTGCTATCATCATCTATGTTGATGATATACTGATGACTGGATTAGATTCCTCTCAAATTATGTCTCTCATCTTTGCTCTTCAACAACAATTTGCGTTAAAGGACTTAGGTCCCTTGCATTACTTCTTGGGTATTGAAGCCCATCGTTCCAATTCTGGTCTTCATCTTTGCCAACATAAGTACATTCAAGATCTTCTTGCCAAATCCAAGATGCATAAAGCCAAACCCACTACTACCCCTATGGCAGCCTCTACTTGGTTGTCTGCTCATCAAGGTGAACCACTAGTTGATGTTTCTCTTTACTGAAGCATTGTGGGAGCTTTACAATATGTGACTCTCACTCGTCCTAACATATCTTTTGTCGTAAACAAAGTTTGTTAGTACATGTAGCATCCTACAACAAAACATTGGGTTGCAGTTAAATGCATTTTGCGTTGCTTGAAAGAATCCATTACTCATGGCATCTTTATTCGTCGTTGTTCTTCTATCACATTAGACACCTTCTCTGATGCAGATTGGGTCGGGTGTCCAGATGATCATAGATCCCAAGGGAGCTATTGCATTTTTCTGGGTGGAAATTTAGTCTCATGGAGCTCCAAGAAGCAAAGTACGTTATCTCGTTCCAGCACAGAATCTGAGTACCGTAGTCTCACGACAACCACATCTGAACTAACTTGGATTGAGATGCTCTTACAGGAGTTGGGTTTTCCTCTTAGTACCAAACCCATTTTATGGTGTGACAGGGAGCAACCTTTCTCTCTACAAATCCTAGATTCCATGCTTGTACCAAACATATTGCCTTGGATTATCACTTTGTACGAGAGCATGTGGCTTCCAAATTATTGGATGTACGGCTTCTCCATTATCTAGATCAACCAGCTGACATCTTCACTAAGCCAATATCTTCAGCTAGGTTATCTCAACAGTGTTCCAAGCTCACTGTGATTCCATCCCCGTTTCACTTGAGCAGGGGTGTTGGAGATAGAGATAAGTCTCATATTGGAGATAGAGATAAATCTCATCAGATAGATACGTAGCAGCTTCCTTATCTTGCATGACTCTGTCCTCAAGTTGTAACAATAAGATAAACATCTTTTAAACATTTGCATATCTGTAACAAACTCTATCACAACAATTGTATATATAATACAACTCAGCCAACCTTGTGAGAGTGAGCAGATTTTTACACTCATTTAATTTTTCTACTTTGTTTTATGCCAATCCAAGATTTTACCATCACACTAAGTAATGGTCCCTATATGTTGAAACTATTGAAAAGAAAAAAGCTCTTTTGGACTGGGAGATAGATATTTAACTTGAAAGACATGCTTCTAGTCTATAACACATTAGAGGACAAACACCACCTAAACAAGTACATAGCAAAGTGGATAAGTAATTTAGGTTAAGGATCAACAAAAAAGTGTGGTCATAGGGTGGCAATTTAGACACCCATGAGGAAGGGAAGTGGTGCTGAATAGCACATCTAGGCTGATTTTTGACCCAGTAAATCTCCTCAAAGCACCAAATGGAAAGTAACCATGTCTATGTATATTCTGAAACATAAATGTCTATATGGAAATGAAATAAGCAGTGAGACATGGAAAGATGGGCACATGAAGTCATTAGTAGTAGTACAAACACTTACTCAGGAGATTCTTTCTGATACCCAAAGTCTATTGCTGCTTTGATGACTTTCTGGTATGTCTGTTTCATGACATCCTGCCAAAAAAGAAACAAAGATGAATATTTCTGCCCACAAATATTTCCTTCACACTACAGGAAAATTGACTTCTAGCAACGGTTTGCTAGAAGTACCAAAAACCGTTGCTAAAGACTTCTAGCAACGAACTCGCAACGGACACAAAACCGATGCCTCTTTCACCGTGGCGATAGGTTCTCACTACGGTTTCAGAAAACTGTTGCTAGAGCTATCATTTAGCAATGGACATTGTCTGTTGCTATAACATTATAAAAACCGTTGCAAAAGTACCTATAGCAATAGACGAAACCGTAGCAAAAAACATTTTTAAAAAGAAAATTAGTCCTCTTATTGCAATGATTTTTATGAAAACCGTAGCTTCAGAATGTTTACCGCAACGGTTTTTCATGAAAACTGTAGCTAGAAAATGTCTATCGCAACGGTTTTTCATGAAAACCATAGCTAAAAAATGTCTATCGCAACGGTTTTTCATGAAAACCATAGCTAGAAAATGTCAATCGCAACGGTTTTTCATGAAAACCGTAGCTAGAAAATGTCTATCACAATGGTTTATAAAGAAAACCATAGCTAGAAAATGTCTATCGCAACGGTTTATAGGGAAAACCGTAACTAGAAAATGTCTATAGCAATGGTTTATAGAAATAATCGTTGCTACAAAATGTCTATCGCAACGGTTTATAGAGAAAACCATTGTTATAGAATGTATATCGCAATGGTTTATAGAGAAAACCGTTGCTATAGAATGCCTATTGCAACGGTTTATAGAGAAAGCCATGGTTACAGAACGCCTATCGTAACAGTTTATATAGAAAACCGTTGCTACAGAATACCTATCACAACGGTTTATAAAGAAAACCATTGTTACAGAATGCCTATCGCAACAGTTTATAAAGAACACCGTAGTTATCAAGTACCTATTGCAACGGTTTATAGAGATAACCGTAATTACATAATACCTATCACAATGGTGTATTATAACCTGCTATAAAATAATTGAATGGTTATCAAACTATTGATATAACCTATTATAAGATAACCGTATAGTTATCAAACCATCAATATAACCTGTCATAAAGATAACTGTATAGTTATCAAACCATCAATATAACCTGTCATAAAGATAATTATATAACTATCAAATTATCAATATAACTTGTTATAAAGATAACTGTAGAGTTATTAAACCATCGATATAACCTATCATAAAGATAATTGTATAGTTATCAAACCATCAATATAACATGTCATAAAGATAACTGTATAGTTATCAAACCATCAATATAACCTGTCATAAGATAATTGCATAATTATCAAATCATTGATATAACCTGTCATAAGATACTTGTAAATTTTAATTTTTTTTCATATGCAAATGCAAACACAAAAAACATGTATCATTTAATTAAAGTAATTAATGTTTCCAACAAAAAAGTAATAGCATGATGTTCTTATTTTTAACAATAAACATAATAAAAGAAGTGTCAAATGTCTTCAATGTCTTGTTAACTTCTCCATCAATAATTTCTCTATCGTTGTGTAACAACCTTTTGAATCTGTAAGAATTGAAAAACGAGTATAAGAAACAAAAAAATAATCATTTCATACTATCCAAAACTAAATAGTAAAAGTTAATTAAGTATAAAATATTTACCAAAGCTATAGGCCATGCAATGTGGAATATTCAAAGTAAATTAAGACATGAAGCAAAATAAGGTAAAATCCAAAAAAAATATAAATTATTCTAATTTTATGTGTCAAAAAACTCAAAAGGGATTCAACCCAACACCAATAGGTATGTGGGGTTTTTAAATGGATTCCAACTGGACATAGAAAAGAATCATCTCATGTAAAGAGTATCCCCAACCCATTGAACCAAAACCCTCAAGAAGGAATCAACAACACATCCCATGAAAGCTAGGGTTCTTTGTTCTAACTAAAGAAAAAGAAAAAGAAAAAGCCAATCACATGGTAAGAAACATGGGATCCTTGTTCCTATGTATTTAATGCAAAATTAGTAAGTTGGTCTAGGGCTTTTAATGCAAACCAAATCAAATATAATTTTGTCCAATTATCCAATGAAATTGAAGTGAAAGTCTAACTAATTCCTGTGGGATGTTTGATGTTTGAGAAGCACCACCAAATTGCCAACCATGGTCTAGATCATCCTTTCAAGTCAATTTCTGGCATTAGATTTCTTTCATGTGGTAACTCATCAAATGGACAATCTTGATCTAGAGAGAGAGAGATGGTTTCTCTAAGACATACTTTAATCCAAAGTTATGCTTCTAATCAAAGTCTTTGTAAGCTTTATCTCCAGCCCCAAGTTAAAATGACACCCAAGAAAGGTACATTTGTTTACAAAGTAAGATCTCTCTCTCTTGTGCCCTTTTATTCTTTCTTGCTTTTTAAATAATTAAAAGACTCCCAAGTCTTTATATTTCAAAAAGCTCTTCCAATCTTGAGGCATTTGATAACCTAAATACCCCATAAATTTTTGGTTGAACTATAGAGAGACTCATCCACACTTTGTTCTACTAGAACCAGCTAGCCTTTCCACTTTGAGATAAATAATATATAAGACACAACAAGTGATTGCAAATATTTGCAACAACTGTAATGGTAACAACTGGAAGTTGAGCCACATGTCTTTATGGCATTCATTTATGTATCTATGTCCGTTAGTCCATTACCTTATTATTAATGCAATCTTTTGAACTGATATCCCTCCTCTCCTTGAAAAAGGCAGGTCTATCAAGCATGTAAAACAAGGGAGAAAAACTGAAGGGCATGGGAAAAACATAATACCTTTTGACACCAATAAAATGGATAATCAATGGTGCTGATAAAACAGGGCAACCACTGCTAAAGAGGGGAATTTATTCTCAATCACAGTAAACTGAGCTCATAATTGCTAAAATGTTATGCCAATGCTAAGCATATATTATTATTCATAAAAATAAAAAAAAAAACAAAGCCCGATGTTGGGTATCCAGGTGGGTAATGGTTTGACCCCATGATGTGGGGAAGAGGGTCACTAGAGCCAGTTATGGTGCTAAGAACCAAAGAGATCATGAATGGCCGACTTGCAATGCTGGCTTTTGTGGGGTTCTGGTTCCAAGCCATTTACACAGGAGGACCCATTGAGAACTTGATGCTTATATTGCTGATCCTGGACACTGCATGCTCATATCTAATGCAAGAAGACCCATGTGTTTGATACATTATGGATGGTCAGAGTCAGACCCTTGGATCATCAAACGAGCTTGATCTTCCTGTAACATTTCATGTCAAATTGAATGGGTAAGTCCTTGTCCAACTCCAAGCCTCATAACATCTATCAACCTCTTTCTTGCTACTTGTAGCTCAACTTCATCATCATCCTCCCTTATACAAACCTCCTGTGGACTACTATAGAAACTTGAAGCATAGGGATCAAGTGATAACTGAATGCTTCTCCCACTCATTTTTTACTCCATTTAAGGTTGGTATGCTAATCCGTTCAAAAGGCCACTGCCATGGAGCTTGTAGAACTTAATATAATTTGTTCAGCCTTTTGAAGCTTATGTGAATTTATAAATGCTGCAGTCTTCTTTGTTATTTTGCAGCATGGATGAGAATATATATTCTGATATCTGAGACAAGGCAAAGGCATATCATATTATTAGTTGTGCATGCATGATTTTAGTCCATCAAAATGTTGGTGGTTAAGGGGTAACTTGATACCTAAGTAAATGGAAAACAACGGATTAAGACACGAAGACATACCCCTTGGATTCTCTTTCCGGTAACAAGACACTTAGGCCCACTGACTCTGTTCTTGTTGCTCTGGAAAACGAGCTTCCCACCTGAATTCCAACACAATCAGAATAAATTAATACACCTCAAAACAAAATCAAAGAAGAATATCAAAATTGCTTCAAGGGCAACTGATACATTTATAGATAGCGAAAACAAAACCTTAAATGATTTGCGGCTGTCATCATCTTACCACAACTCGTTTTGCGATAGAATGCCCCTTTTGTTTGCTTCACAATAAGGAGAAACTCGATTGTAGACTGAGAGATTGAGATGGAATGCCCCTGGATGCGTTAGACTGTGAGATTGAGAAGTAGAGACATCACCGAACAGAGAGAGATAGAGACCTCGAGAGAGAAGGGGAGGGAGAAGGGGAGGTAGAGAAATACTAGGGTTCGTGAGTGAAAAGGTGTTGCAGGCTATTCGGTTCTGATAGTGTGAGAAAGAAGGGGAGGGAAGAAATTCGAAGGGGTTCGAGTGGGAAAATTTTGCTAAAGATAGGGTTCCTATCGGGGATGCTAATGAACCGGGTCTGGCCGGTCCTAATTAAATATATTAATTATATTTGATTTAAGTTTTTCATCTTTTTATAAATAAAAAATTTAGAAATTATTTTTAGAGGCAAAAAATGGTTTTTTTTGTAAAATGGTTGAAATAAGTTATTAAATAAGTATTACTTTATCAATTACTTATAAAAAGTATTTAATAATTAATGAAGTTTTAATTTATTAAATAAATACTTATTTTTAATTAATTAACTAATAATTAATAATTATTTATTTATATTTTATATATAACTATTTAAAGATATAAAGTGGGCCGTGCCAGGCACTACATCTCTCTCTCTTCTGCTCTTGCACCACTACATCTAACCCCATGCAACTAAACAATGGATCAGGACTTCATGGATTCTTTAAACCATCACTAATACGTATATGTATGCATGTCTTCTTAGACAATATTTCTCATGGGTTTATAAGGTAGTAAGTTAGGATCGAATGAAGTAAGCTAGGATGGAAATTAGAAAAAGTTCAAATTTATCTTATTTGTCAGAGATGGATCAACTAGAAAACTCTGTGGCTGTACTTTTGGGGCTAGAGATGTAAATTTGGGTTAGCCTGAAATCGAAAATACCAAGAGAACACAGGGTATTCACTGACTTCACTCCATTCTTCCCAAAATCTGATAGAACTGTCATTGCTAATTGGTATAAGAATGTTGATGGAGACAAACAGGGGGAATAGGGAAAAACCTAAAAACAACAAAAAAGACAAATAGAACAACAATTGAAAAAAATCAAAACTTTCTCTAAAGAGATTTCGAGAAATGTAAATTAATATTGCAGATATTGCTATTGTTGGCCCTAGAATGATTTTACCATTGAAAAAGAGAGAACGAACCAAGCAAACACTCCCTCAAGGATTCTGCCTTCAGCCCCAACCTTATAAGTCATACGGCGACTCCGAGACTTCTCACTCCCTCATGTCTACACTAATTCCTACTTCCTACCTAATCAATTTCAATTCTACCGCTGCTACTTGCCGCTGTCGAGGATGCCATCCAATGAAATATGCTACTGACCTCCATCACCACCCCTCACTTCATTTACTGATTCATGCGAAGAGGAAGCATGGGTTTGGGCCCTGATTAAAACCGAGCATCACCGGATGCTAAACCCGCACTCACCAGTTATCTCTATTCTACCATTGTCTCTCAATCTCTCTCTCGCTTCATCTCCTTCAACCTCAGCAATAAACCCTGCTCCTCCACCCTCCTCTATGATCTCTTCCTTAGCTTCTTCATTGATCCCTTTCTCCGTTCTGCCACCGTTGTTGACATCCTTGCTGACCATTGAAAATGTGGGAACGGTTTAAGGCCTCTAGCGAGTGAATTCGCGCGCAAAAGATAATTTGAGTGCACGGAGAGTTTTTATCAACCAATTTGGCGGTGTATTTTTGCTTGGTGTTTTTTATACTTCTTAAATAAAATATTTAAACGTGCATAGTGTAATTGTGTAAAGCACAACTTTTAAAACTACCAGTCGCTATTCAACCCCTTTCAAAACTGCCGCTATTTATCAGTTTTTTTGTAGTGCCAGTTATTGCTCAAATATATTGAGAATGAATTATTTTCTATTACTTTTGATAATATTAGTAATAATGATTCAGTAATAAATATTTTCAAATCTCAATTAAAACCATGTTTAATATAAACATTTTATATTAGATGTTAAACATAGATGGAATTCTACCTATGCTATGTTAGAAAGTTGTATTTCTCACAAACAAATTCTTAATGATTTTTATAATGCAAAAATGCCTATTGATATTATATTTGAGGAATATTGAGAAATGGCAATTTGTATAAGAGATTTTTTAAAACATTTTTATGATGCAACTAATGAATTATCGGGTATTTATTATCCAACTAGTTGTAATTTACCTTATCAATTAATGGTGATTAGTGATTGTTTTGCAAAATATAAAAATAATCCACAATTTAAAAGTATTGTTAAGACAATGGAAAATAAATTTAAAAATATTGGGAGAATATTTCTCCTATTTCTTGTTTAACTATAATATTAGATCCTAGGATTAAGAAAGATGGTTTAGATATTTTACTTGAAACATATTGTGAAAATATGAATATTGATATTGGAAATAAATAGTTTATTATTTGAAATGTACAGTTTATATGAATATGAAGTAATAGGAAATAATTCTACAAGTTGTATAGCTACATCTTCCACTTCTGAACATGAGTCCAGTAGTAGAAAAAAAAAATTATTTGATAAGTAGAATGTAGAAATCTGCTACCACAACAACAAGTTCATTTACTGAACTTAATTTTTATTTACAAGCAAATTTTTCTACTTTAGGTGACGGAACAAATAATTTTGATATTTTAGCCTAGTGGAATGAATATGCAAAAAATTATCAAGTTCTTGCTGCTATGGCACATAATATACTGACCTCTTTTGTGTCTACAGTTGCATCGGAGTCTTGTTTTAGTACAAATACTAGGGTGTTGGACAACAAGAGAAATTGTATGAATGATGAAAGTATAGAGATGTGCATTTGTTTTAAAGATTGGTTGGATGCTGAAGATAGATTACAAGACAAAAGAGGGCATGACACTACACTTGATGTTTCACCTGAAGTAGATGCTTGAAAGTCATAAACAACAGCAGAAAATCAGAAAAATGATGAAGTCAATATTCTTTGTATACTCACTCAATAGTTGTATAGCATTTTTAAATTATTGTAAATTATGTTTTAATTTTATTTAATTTATTTTCTATTTTTTAACAATGTAATTTTGTATTTTCAATTTGTAACTATATTATATTTTTTTATATTTTCTTAATTTATTCAATTTTCCAATTTTCATATTTCATTCATTGAAGTATCCAACCATTGTAAGCTTTGTAATTTGTATCATTCAAATTTAAATGAAAAAAAATTCCTACTTTTCCTCCAATTTGTTATTCCATTTTTATTTGGTTAAGTATTTTTTACACTTTTACTTAACAAAGAAATAAAAAAATAAAAAAACAAATAAAAGGTAAAAAACCAGTTTGGCCCGGTTTGGCCCATGCCCAAGGCCTGCTTATGGCCTAACCTAGCACAGCCCAAGCCCATGGCACAGTTTATAGCCCAGGCCCACAGCACGACATGAGCCCGTACAAACTTGGGCCATGGGCCATGCCAAGCCAGCCCCCTAAGTTATCCTAGGGGAGGGCGGCACGGGCTGTGGGCCGGCACAGCACGACCCGCACTTTGCGCAGGCTACCCGTGGGTTGTGTCGTGCTGGCCCGGCCCGGATCGTTTTACACCTCTAAGACTGACATCAATATATTGAAATATAATGTGAAAATTTTAATTTGTTTTTATTTTTTATTTGTAGATTATAAGTATTTATTTATTTCTCTAATTTTTTGCTATGATTTGAAATATAATAATAAATATTTACAGTAAATATATGGCTGATCTATTATGTCCATAAACACATTCAATTTTTCGGTTACATATTTACTTTTTAAATTTCAGTTTAATTTTTAGAATAAAACATGCAAAATAATTATTTGAATAAAAATAAATAATTATTTAGTTTTTAGAATGAAACATGCAAAATAAGTATTTCATCTATTGTGTCCATAAATCCATTCAATTTTTCTGTTACATATTTACTTTTTTAATTTTAATTAAATTTTTAGAATAAAACATGCAAAATAATTATTTGAATACAAATAAATAATTATTTAAAATATATAGAAAAATGTTTGATTCAATAATTAAAAATTTTACATAATTATTTGATTCAATAATTGTTAATTGTTTAATTGGATTAGATAACACTTGGCAAAATGTTTATAACAATTAAAAAGATTTTTTAGTCATATTTAAAAATGTTTTAAAAAAATATAAAATAAAAGGCGTTGATATATTTCACATGATAATCTATAATTTGAATGTGAACGTAATTGTGGCATCAAAAAATATGAAAAGAATTATTATTTGTTTAATTGGATATTTGTATTAGATAATAATTGAAAAATATATTTACAAACATTTAAAAAAATCATAATAACAATTGAAAATTAGTTTACTAACACATTAACACTTAAAATTGGATAATGTATATAATAATTGAATTTTTATGTGATTCATGTAAAGTTGTAAACATCATATTGGGATTCAAATGTTGAATTTGTAAATTATAATAGATTTAAAATTTAAAGTTGGAACTGAATTAAGTACTTTATTAGATAGTATATTTTTGTTCCCGTTTGTTGGTTATAATATGTTTTTTCATAAAACCTATTAAAATACATTATTTTTATGTATAAATAGCTCATTTAAGTCTTACATATTTAGTGATAATGGTGTTTATTTATGATTTATTAGAATATTTTATAACATTTTCATGTGTATCTTATTCTTTTATCCATATCCATGTATATCTTGATATGTCTCTTAAATTTGCCTTTCCAATACATATAACTTTTTTGATACTTGACATAGGGTGATTTGGCCCGACCTCGTAGCACAGGGACATGTGGACATGACCTGGTATAAGTGACAACTCAGCGCAACAGCCTGACCACAACTTGGCGTAACAAGCTCATTGAGGCCCGACCAAACGACTCGACGGGTGTGACAACTTGTCGAGAAGCAAGGCCCGGCTTGCTTCAAGCCTGAGGGTGGAGCGCCCCGAGCTCCCCTGTGCAAAGGGACCCGAGCTCCCCTTGAGACCCGAGCTCCTCCTAAGGGACTCCGAGCTCTCCCTTCCTAAGAAGGAAGCACCCTGGCTTTTGGCTAAGTGTCCCGAGGGAGAAACACCTCGGGACAGCACCGTCGAGACTCCTGTTCGTACTTGCTTAAGGCTTGCCTCCAGTGCGAGCACCTCGGCATACCTCGGCACATCGGTGCAAGAAAAACCAGCCCCAAGCGGTTCGGTGCACAGTAGCTCGACAGCCTGCAAGGGAGATCCGCCTGACATCCGTACCTGCCGGATCCGGTGG